TACTCGCTCTCGCTCTGTCTGTCTCACTCCCGGTCGTTTACTCGCTCTCGCTCTGTCTGTCCAGTTGCTGTGTCTCTGTAGTTTTGATTTCAAGTTTCCGAGCTGTGCGTTCTCTCTGTATTGCACCCCGTTGATTTCTGTCTCTGTGTCTTATCCCAGATGTTTTTCTCTCTGTCTCTGTCTCTATCTCCCTGTCCTGCAGCCTGTCACTGTGTGGTGTGGTGTCTTTAACCTTGCTCTGTCTGTGTTCACAGAACCTCAGCAGTCTGCACAGGGGGTGCACAGTCCCGTTGAAGTGTCCCAGGACCCAGAGGCACAGGAGGACCCCGACAGCCCCTCCCAGATCGCCAGTGAGGCCAGCAAGGCCCCCCCCGACGATGACATGCAGGGCCTCCCGGATCAGAGAATGGACAGTGAGACCGAGAGTGACCACGACGAGGCGTACGTACGCGAGACAAGGCCGGTGCTGTGTGTTTGTGGCGAACTGTAGGGCGTGTTGTCTCTGGTCGCGTTCCCCAGGTCAGGTGGGCCACAGAGGCACAGGAGGAGGTGTCGGGCCAGAGCTTAACAAGAGCTTGGGTTTCCAGAGAACCTTAAAGCAGGAGAGAGGCTTTTGTGTGAGTTGTGGCCAACTCAGTGAAAGGCAGGAGTGCTACCCAGCCTGAGGCCTTGCAGCATTAAGATGCTACTGAAAAGCTACCTTTCAGAGCCAGCTTTGGGTCGTGGTCTTGGGGCTCAGCTTCTCTGGCTCCTGGTAATTCACTACTGAAGGTGCTATAGAGATGGAGTTAATTCTTGTTGAAGATTTCGGGTGAGAGAATGGTCATTCACAAGGCCTCCTCATCCTGAACAGCAATTCCCTGTCAGTCACGGTGACGTAAAATCTTTTCCGATCTCCTCCATGGAGACCGTCCTTACCCCCATGTGGCCTACTGTGACTCCATGTTGACTTTGCCTCTGAAAGAGCCCCAGCTCAAGGCAACAGTCCCAGGATTGGTCAACAGCAGGCTGTCCCTTCAGGGCAGGTGACTGCTGCTTCTCTCGCTCTGGCTCTGGCTCTGGCTCTCTCTCTGGCTCTCGCGCTCTCTCTGGCTCTGGCTCGCGCTCTCTCTGGCTCTCGCGCTCGCGCTCTCTCTGGCTCTCGCTCTCGCGCTCTCTCTGGCTCTCGC